TGCTGTTGGGATGATATATGATATCTCAGTCAATGTTGATGTATCTGATGGTTTAACAAATGGGTCATCATGTAAGGTAGAATTAATTGAAAGGAGAATGGAAGGCATATCAAGGCCAAGCATTGTTTGGGTAAAATTTTTTGATTCTGCTATTGGAAAAATTACTCGCAAGAGATACAAACATTTATTTCATGATGGAATTACTGAGGACTGGACACCAATTTTTGAAGTTCAGCGGTCTTTTGTATTGAATTACAATACTTTTCAGAGGATTCAATTTCCATTACGGCCAGCTGCAGGGAAAACAGTTCATAAAGCCCAGGGTTGCACTGTTGATGAAATTGTAATTGATTTGTCTCAGACTAAAGTAAGGAAAAATCCACATATTCACTATGTAGCACTTAGTCGGGTACGGTCAGTAGATCATCTTCACATCCTAAACTTCAATGAGCAGGCATTGGCTATGGATGAACAAGTGGTAGAGGAAATGGAAAGAATGAATAAAGATGTACCACTACAACTTTGTTATGTCCCATTATACCAGGTTGATTTGCATTCTTTCAAAATTGCTTTCAACAATTGTAGATCACTTCATAAACACTTCCCACAAATTCAAAATGAACCAAATATTGTTGCATCAGACATAGTTGGATTCTCAGAGACAAGATTAACTAGTGCAGATGTAGCAGGAAATTATCATCTACAGGGATACACGGCAGTATTTAACCATGAGGCTACAGCTAATCTGGATAGACGTCCACATCATGGAACAGCAATATATGTGAAAAATGTTTACAAAACAACCTGCATCTCAAAGCTGAACAGTGGTTCAATGGAGTTCATCATGGGAAATGTACAATTAAACCAAAGTAGAGATGTCCAAGTTGTAGTTATTTACAAATATCCATCTTGCTCTTTTGGGGATTTTAAACAACATGTGGAGATGCATATAAAACCCTTGATTGATGACCAGAAAGACTTGGTATTCTTAGGAGATTTTAATTTTGATTTGTTTGCTGGGCATACAGACTTTCTAACATTTATGGAAAAAGGCTTTAATTGTAAACAAATTGTGTGTAAGGCTACTCATGACTCTAGTTCTAAACTTGACTTGATCTTTACAAACATAATCCCATGTAGAACAGATGTAATTGAAGCATACTGGTCAGATCATAAAATGGTGTACTGTGCATTTAATAAGACTATGCATTAAATACAATGGGGCACCAAAGTTAAAACATTTCAGAGGGAGATGCGTAAGAATGCCCCCTCCCTCATCCCCTTTGTCCCAGTCTTATACCCCTCAAACAAAGTTTGAGGGGTATACTGGAATCATCATGTCCATCTGTCTCTGGGTTTGTCAATATCTGAAGCTTTTTTATTTTTTTTTTATGATTATGTCATGACCATCAACATAGATAATTTAGACAAGATCAAGGTCACAGAGTTCAAATGTGTATAATTCTGACAGACAAAATTTTGGATTTGGATTAAACACAAGGTCATCTTTCGCATTAATGGTTGCTCATGAAGAAGACGTCTGTCATGATCTCATTGCATGATTGTTTGTATAAGTCATCTGGTGATATAAGGGTAGAGATTATCATGACCTTCAGCTAACTACAGTCATCTCAATAAGATTCAGGCCATTGGAACTTGCAGTATAATTTTAGCAAGATGGCAGAGAAGTATGTGTCTTTCCAAGTTGCCTTGTTGGGGTATTAGTCCTATTTAGGCAGTTTTAGTTGTAAGACTCCTTATAAAACAATTAAATAATGATTTTTTTTATTGTAAAATAAACCTTTGAAAATATAAATTTTGTACTTTATCTTTCTTTTTATTATTATACAGTTGTGCTTGAGATGAAGACATTTAAATTTTAAACCTGACTGTCCTTTGCATATTTAATTCATATTCAATTGATGTATATATGTTTACTTGCCTTTAGGATTTCCTTTGTAAAAAAAAAGAATTTCATTTTTTTTTTTTTTTTTTTTTTTTTTTTTTGCTATTACAAGTTGCACTGAATTTTTAATGCGTGTTTAAATTAAAATGATAAGGTCATATTCATACAATAATTACATTTTCACCAATTACCAGTTGGTCTACTGTTGAAGACAGCTTATTTCTCAAGATTTGTAAAATTCTGAACAACTCTTTTCATGTATATATATAGAACAAGGTATACTTTTGAATATATCGTTTGTAAATTTGTTGAGATTTTTCATTACTTCCATTATTGTTACATGTAATCCTGTATATTCATTTTGTAGTTAATTTTATAGGATATATCGATCTTTTCCATTCTGAGTACATGCATTACCATTTAGAGGGTTAGTGTCTGACAAACAGTATTGATGTATCAGAAGTCATGCTTTATAAGTCCCTTTATGACATATGGATTATATTTTATACTGAAAACTGAATTTTTCTGTTGAGAACTTTTCATTGTGAAACCTAGGGATCTTTCTGCAATTGAAGGATATTCTTTGATAGACTACAGCAATTGAGACTATAGACCATGCCATTAACTGTGATTCGGACTCTTTTAAGCTACTGTATGTGATTTTGACACCCCTAGCAGTAAATGCCAGATATAGATATATCACTGAAATGAATATGTGGCACCTGATATAGACCGTGGAAACCACCGAGTCAGATCTCTTCATTGACACACTTGTAACTTTTGCTCAAATAGTATGAACATTTACTTATTTTATCAGAATATGTGTCAGTCAATTTTCTAACTTGCTTGCTAGAAAAGTATGATAAAACATACAAAATACTAATTATACTTTAATTACATCTTATTTGTATTATGAACTTCTTTTTAGAACGTGTTTCATGAAAATAACCTGTGCAAATAACATACAATCCTTGCAAGTTAAATAATTACATTGCACAGTAGATGTTTGATTGTAAAACCTCAGATTTTTTGATTCAGATGAATTCCACCTACCATGATCATGTAGATTTTTGTGATTATCAAGAAAGTAATGATGACTTCTGTTAGGTCAACTTTACTGTGTACAAAATGTATAATTAACAGGTAAGTATGGAAAGAGGGGGTCAATGGCCAGCCCGTAAAGGGAGGTAAACCTACCTCTTTCAAGAAAAGCACTTAAATATGATAGCACATGATATTACTACATTTAGAATTTTAAAAAAACTAAAAAAGAAAAAAAAAAGAGCTCCCTTAATTTTTCAATGAGATTTTTTGAATCTGAGGTTCTGGTATTGCAATTATATAGCCAAAATCAACATCATTATTGTCATTTAATGTTGATCAATTTAAAAGCAAAATATTAAGTATATGGCAAAACCTGAAGAACATATTTCTTTTTCATTCACTTGCACAGAATCTTTCCCTTTTTCGTTTTTCGTTGGGAAAGGTTATCTATATTGAGTGCATGATTATATTTTTTTTAAATGACCAATTAACATATTAACACACATGCATATTATGACTGGATTTTCATGTGAGCATTACTTAAATTTTTCCATGCTGTTTACTTTCTATTTATTATTCATTGTCATTTGCAATTTCAACTCGAGATTTAATTATACTGATTACAAAATACATGTTCTTGATTTATTGCTTCACATGTATATATATGAAAGTGATATATACTAGTCTCAAATGTGTCAACATAATTTAATTTGTACCAGCTTGTCTAACATTTTATCTCTTATTTTTTTCATAAAAAGTTGCATATTGTTACCTGCAGATTATCACTTAAGACTTGCATAAATTTCTTGTAAATGAATAAAGTTTTTTAATACAATCATAATTATGCATTTTTCTTATTGACTGAAGGGAGCTAAATAACTGATTGTACTTGATAATGCAGAATAAATTTGAAGAGTCTTGAGGTCATGAAAGAAATTATTGAATATGCATGTCCAAAGCCTTCATACTTCTAAATATAAAGTACACTTTTGGTCAGTGAAATTAAAATTCAAGCATCCCCATATTGTGTTGATTTAATTCACTTATGAAACATTTGGTCTAAATTTTGATGAGGCCAGAGTATAAGGTCATAACATTTCATGTCAGCTAGTAAGGATGAAAAAAATTTTTTTAAAGGTTAACATTTGAAGAGCTGAGCTAAGATGACTCAGGTGAGCGATGTGGCCCATGGGCCTCTTGTTAATCTAATATTATAAAAATCTGAATGATAAATTATTTATAGCTTCTTCTACTATTTACTTTTGTTGCCCTTATTCTGTTTGTATCAAAATTATATGAGGTCAATGATCAAATCATTAAGATATGTTGTCTGGAATGGTTTTCGTTCATATTTCTGAAATTCTTCATTGCATGTCATTCAAGTATTTGAAACAATACATGAGCTTACACACTCATGATATTTGAAAAATGATGTTTAAAAACACAGAGAATCTTAACTTTGTGAATGATGTTGCAAGAAAAAAATGTGACAAAAATGAAAAATTAAAATTCAGTCCAAATTTCCTCTGCATCACCATATATTTACATTACATTTTGTTTTTGCATATTTTCTTAAAAATATATATATATTAATTTTTTAATTAATACTGAGTTATAAGTTTGTTATTTTGTCCATTTAGAACATATATAGAGGATATTCAATGTTTATCTGTCAGTAACATACCTCGGTTCAAAAATTGATCTTGTTCGGTTCTATGAAATCAAAATTATATTTAGAATCGGAGTGATTTTTAACAAAGTAATTTTGTTGATGACCAACCACAAAGAACAAAGTTCCAATACATTGATTTTAATAAATATGTAGATTTTTTCTAAGTATCACCACAAAAAAAAATACTCCTCATAAATCTTGAAGAATCAAACCACGCCACATTAATCAGGAATCAAGCCACAATATCAGACCTCTGATTACGAGTCATTACGCCTAATTTTGACATCACGTTGCTCATTAAAGAGGAGCAATACTACTGATAACATTTTGAGATGCGTAGAGTAATGTATCCATGTATTAATTTCCATATTCTCTTAGGGTGATTCTGGAGGACCTCTGTCTTGTATGAAAGATGGGAAATGGATGCTGGCAGGAGTGACGTCATTTGGAGTCACGGGGTGCGAGACGAGTGGATACCCGGATGTTTATACACGAACTTCTGTGTACAGACCTTGGATTGAGTACATAATTAGAACAAGTGGAAGATAATGCAGCTATATGTGTTACATATTTATGTCCCTTCTAATTGTAAATTAAAATACAGTGTACAACCAATTTCCAGATATATTGAAAAATAATTTCCTGCTCAATTTCAACTTGTGAAAAACTTCTGTTTCCATTAAAACATACTGTCTTTCTAAATTTTGTATTTGTACATATATTTTATTTCATTTTCTACACCAACATTACGGAATCAACATTCTTAAATATTTTATAATGGCAATGTTATGGCTGCGTCCATGCGGTGTAAGAGAATTCTTGTTCTGGACTTTTTTTAATGAATCTAAGAGTTATTTCCCTTCTCCTGCTTGTTACATTCCTCGAATATCTGTTTTATATCTCTCCATAGTATTTAGGGAAAAAAATCATAATTATCATTATCTTGTTATTTTTAAACTGTTTTGTCTTAAAATATAAATACACCAAAAATTGATATATTGACAGGTCAAGAGATTTCCAATAGGACTATTAAGAAAACACCATCAACTTTGTATTATGCACAAGTACAATGACAATTTCTTAGGAAAAATTATATATCACTGAGGAACGTGTCTTCTGACCTTAATGCACATGTTTATACATGTTTTCACCTATACATCATTAGTATTTAATCTTTTGAAGTTAAAAATATCTTTCGGTAACATTAGAAAATGATGTAATGTATATATGAAGAATTACGAATTAACAAATTCTTTATTTGCGCATACATTATGGCATCGTTATTCAATTTTATAGGAATCATTTTGTCACGTTTTTGACAGAAAATAGCAGCATATGTAAGAATGAGACAATTTTCAAATATTGTATACAATTTTGCCAATTAATGATAATTTCACTTTGTGGATATATTAAGACGGACACTCGCAAATTAAGTTTTTAAAAGATAATCTTCGAACACGTGAATAAGTTTCTGCCACGCAGAATTGCGCAACATGCAGATAAGGTAATGAATGCGCAGCATCTCTGTCTCTCTGGACATCCGGTCAGCATTGATAAACTATCCTACTGATTTTGATAAAGACCAATAGTTGCCAGCCACTGGTTGGAAAGTGTATTGCTCATTTCCCGTCCTACTCAATTACCTACTTTTGTTGGGCATTACGCAGACATTTTATAATAAATAATACGTCTGACCTAAGTCTACATAAACTTTAATCGGCTCGGTCAATATTTTACACTTGAATTAGTAGCCGTCTATTCAGTTGTGTATTTAATGGCCAAACATTGTGTAATGCTCTTCGATGCCATGACCCGGCTATTCTATTTTTGGTTTGGAGCTGTAATCGATTTTTATACCCTGGTATTCCTTATGGCATGTTTCGTATAAATATTAGTTTTATCTAGGTTGATTTTTTTTTATATTATAGTAGTATTGTTCAGTTAAATTACGAATCTACTGTGTTCAGTGTATACATACATCGTAAATTCTGTAGTACATCGATGTTCTCTAAAAATTAACCTTACTTTCTTCTTCATTCATTTAAAATTCCAGACTGTAAACTTTCAAAATTAAATCAGATTGAAAATATTTAGAAGGACAAACAATGTTAAACTAGTTTTCTTAACAGTTTACAGTTGGACTGGAATAAAAGTATTATCCGATGCCTATTTCAATTTCTTTCTTTTTTACCCCATGTAACTTTTTTTCTTATACACTAATACATGTAGTTAATGGAAAACAATAAAAGCACGAGGAGACTTTGCTAATATTTTATAGGAGGAGCACATAACCGCTACATTGAAAGAAATCACAACTCATTACTGCTATTTTTCACCTAGATTTCAGGTGTGCAATACCGTACAAATTATCAATAAAAAGATTTGCAATCACAACTCATAACCACAACACATACAAATCATCCCGCCAGGTATATCATCGGGGGTCCCAGCAGAAGTACGCATGGCACAGAATATGAGTTCTATTCAATAAAATTCACTCATTATGTATAGTCGAAGTACAATTAAGTACAAGTTCTATTCAATATAATTCATATAGTATAAAATTACAATTATAAATAGAGTTATTTGTACTTGAACGTCATAGCTTCCATTTAGAAGTTGTTACAAATTGCGGAAATGCAGGTTTAATCATTGATTTTAAAATTTCTAGACTAAATTTCAATTCAGTTCACTTTATTGATTGTCGCCATACAGTCATGAAATTAAAAACTATGTGAAATAAAATCAAAATGGCTAAGTATTTGAAATTAAAAAAGGTGATAAAAGCATCCTACTAAAAGTCCTATTACTACCTTTCAATTGTGAGTACGGGAAAAGGTTTAATGCATGTGTATGTTGTACTTATTAATATCTGTACATGCATAAGGCGCTGTAGCGGTAATATATACTATTTTATAGCGGAACCGCATATGTAGTGGTAATGACAATTTTGAAAATGCAGTGGTAATATACATGTAATGCACCCTATTTTATAGACGTATATTTTTATGTGTGGTAATTAACTGTAAATATATACTTTCTCTCCATCTTGGGTAATTTATTTTTCAGTAATTATTATATATTTTCCATAGGCGGATACAGGATTTGTGATTAGGGGGGCGTGGATAACTTTGTTCAGGCAGGGGGTCTGGGGGCCGCCTTAAGCCCCCCAGTGGGTCCAGGGCGAAGCCCCGGTGGGGGCCCAGGGGGCGAAGCCCCCGGAAGCTCCTGGGTTTTCATGTATTTTAAGAGTAAAACCAGGCACAATAATAGGGGTATTGATTAGTTTATATGTACCAAAGTTTGGCATTATTAATACTAGTCATATCATACTTTGAATAGAGGGGGCCCAGGGGGCGAAGCCCCCGGAAGCTCCTGGGTTTTCGTGTATTTTAAGAGTAAAACCAGGCACAAAAATAGCGGTATTGGTTAGTTTATATGTACCAAAGTTTGGCATTATTAATACTAGTCATATCATACTTTGAATAGAGGGGGCCCAGGGGGCGAAGCCCCCGGAAGCTCCTGGGTTTTCGTGTATTTTAAGAGTAAAACCAGGCACAAAAATAGCGGTATTGATTTGTTATATACCAAAGTATGGCATTATTGATATTAGTCATATCATACTTTGAAAATTTTAGGGGGGGGGCGTGCGCCCCCCACGCCCCCCCCCCTTAAATCCGCCAGTGTTTTCTGTGCCTAGAAAGTCAAGTTTTGCATCTGTTTAATTTTCGTAAAATCAGAGGTATTTATTATTTTTTTTATTTCTAAAGATATGACTTTTCGAGATCAACATCAAAGGTCCTCATGAAAAAGTACTGAAATATCATTAATAAACCTTATGTTCCTCTTATTCTATTTCTACAATACATCGTTATAATCCTCCAATACACCATTCATGATGTGTATTACACTAGATCGACAAATGTAGAACATGTGCGTAATATTGCGTCACCTTTTACGATAATGGCTCTTATGCTATTACATAATTATAGTCCAAACACACCGTGTTACCTAATATATAAATAAAAGGATAAGATGTATTGCGAATTATTACGGAGAAGGGATTATAAATGTATAATTCTGGAAGATTGCCGAGTTACTTGTTTTGGGTATAGACACTAATCTCATGACCAATACACAACGATTTACTGGTTAGCGCTTTTCCTTTTAATATAAAACTTTCTAGTAGTCGTCGTGATTTTTTTTTAATATTTCAAACAAGGCCGGTATAATCTCCTTATAAATGGGATTTTATATCACGATATAACGAGTCAATAGTGTATGATTTAATCAGACGAAATAGTTACGTATTCAAGCAAGGACCGGGTCAAAAGCTGAGTTTGACAGACCAATTCCTTCTATAATCCGATCCTTATACGGCTAAACAAAACCTTTATACTAACAACAATTCACACACGTTGTGTAATTCTTGAGTAATGGAAAAAATTCTAAAGCAGGATTGTCCTCTTTTTTATATTTTGTGTATTTCAAATGCGTTACGCATGCGTTGTTTATCTAATCGATCCCCCTTGAGAGATTTGTTGAAATTTGCATTTACGCAATAATTATGGTATCGCTTGATCAAATATACCTCACCAGTCGAATGGAGACCATTTTAAACTTCTCGCGGCGAGGTGAAAAGTTCATCTTTTCATATCGGTTTAAGTAAATGTTGAATAACTCTACATAACGCCTTTTGATAAAATATGGGCTCTTGCACCGAAAGATGTACACGTGACTTTCATCTGGATAAACTGAGGGGAGAAAATACTTCTGATAACTCACGGCGGGTTGGGTTGTTTGAAATGGTCATACATCGGTCATATTACATTATAAATAAATGAATATAAACAGATTCAAGGCCAAAGTCTTGTAAAGAAACATTCCTTAGACGCCATGCTATCTTTTCTTCTGCACCATCAATATGTTACATATCGTTAATCACGAAGTAAAAATGCTCTTGGCAGCAGATGATTTAACTTGTTATTGCAAAGCAAACAAACATATATGTTTATTTTGAGGAATGTTTCCAAGTAAAAATATTCGAACGCGCCTATTACTAATGCAAGATGTGGACATGAACTCATTCACGACTGGTGCCTATGGATAAAATTGTCTTCAAATTTCTTTCATCTAATTCTTGGTTCAAGCATAAATGCATTAAAAGATTACAACTGGTTGCATCTAGTTACATGTATTTCAATAGGAAAATTTTAAACAAATTAAATAAGACAAGATAAAGAAACAGTTTCAAATTTTCATAAGTTCTAAGACTCTGGTTTGTCCAATACCATCTCGTTCTTGAGGATGAAATATACAAGTCTAAACACCCGAAAACTCTCATAACTATTTATTAAAAAAGAGATCTAACACCACCCAGATGTAAGACTGAAGATATTTTAGTTGACCTCTGACGAAAGGCCCCAAAATCAGACCTAACCATTACACTGAAAGCCTCAACTGAGAGGTACACTTTACACCTCTGTCATGTGAGGCATGACAACCTTCATATAAGACACATTCAATCCCCTTTTAAATTTTTACGTCTTATACCTCGTTTTTCCATAGCGGGTGAAACATTAAGATTGTATCAGACTTTAGTTGTGGTCATTTCTCGCCAGTAACTTGTCATTCGATTCAAGTCAAATTAAATCTCCTGATGGTTTTTGAAAGTTCAAACAGGGGTTTCTCAGTCTTCATCAGACGTTGTCTCATAACTTCCTTTTCTGTTGCATATAGGAAAAAAGCCATTTAAATAAGTAAACGCTTAGTAATTGATGGTGTAAATCTTAAAACCAAGAGAATTGTAAATGGAATTTATTTACGGTGCCATTGAACGGTCATAGGATGTAACAACAACTATTTCTGCGCCGCAGACATGATCTTATTTTTTAAATTTGTTTGATTTATTTTCTCAGTTCTCCTTTCAGAGATTAAAATATCCCTATTTTTTGGCTTCTCTCTCTCTCTCTATTAATAAAAAAATAAGTCTATATTCGATATATAATTCTTTGATGAGTTAGTTGCTTCCTGTTTATCATTCCATTGTTGTTGAGCAATTTTCAAATTTACAATTTTATTTCCTGTAATTTTAAAGATTAGAGATTTTGTGTATCCTTTTATAGAGTATAAAATAAATTTGTCATCCTGAAAATAAGAATACATCTTAGACAAGAATACACACAACATTAACGCTCACCTTCATCTTCTTGGGAAATGACAGGCAATTATGTCTGTGATTAATTAGGTCTTAATGGATTGTATCGTATTAGATAAGATCCCAATATTGCTGTAACCAAATGCAACTTAACAGGTCTATGATGGCGCGAAAACATGTCATATTGCGATGGATGAAGTCTGCTGGACAATGGAAGGATTAAAAGCAAGGGGGATAATTAAAGACATATCGGATAAGCATACATTCTCTGGATGTCAACAATCTTAAAGATGCAATGACAGGTCCTAGAGTCAATCCTTATTTCAGTTGTGCCGTTGATATAATTTGTAGAATGGCATCTGTTGCCCGCGTATTTGGAATGATATAATTGTGGTACAAATACAAAAATAACTATTTTGTAATATTTAATCTACAATAAAATAAAATCGATTCCCTGATTAAGGATACATAACACAAACACAAATTTGATGCATGGATTGATATACATTTTTTGACTGATTTTGAATGGAAATGACATAGATAATCAATCCCTAGAATATAAGGAAATCGTAAGTTTTCTTTGGTGCTTAGAAATGCGACTTTGTATAGTTTTCTATGTAATTCAATACAAAATTTTGCACATATTTTTGACATTGTGACAAAATTTTACAAAGTTCTCCCACTTTTTTCTGAGAAATATCATTCAGGTTTCTTATTTAAATAGAAATCTATGAGAAATATTGCTGATTTCTGAAAAAGCTTGTGTTATTTATCCTTAAAACCTATTTTGAAATTTGTTGTTGTTTTTGAGATGCATTAATTTATTTACCAGAAAGGGAAGTTAGATTGTTAAAATAGTCATTCTAATTATCACTTTATTATTTCTAATATATCATGGAATTTTTAAACTGGTAAATACGTCATCCTAATTTTGATATCATTTGAGCACTGAGGTTAATGGATTATTTTTATTTTTAAATAAATAAAATTACTTTGGATTTAATGCTTTATTCCTTTAACTGTTCTGCATGTACACATTATTTTTCAACATACTGAAAGTGATAGTTTGATTTCATTGTTGTTTTTCAAAAAAAAATATTTTTGACAAGAGAAAGGACATTAAATAATATTTTCCTACAACAGATAAACGAGGAAACTTCTTTTTCCTGTACAAAAAAATTTGGTAATTACATGTATAAGAAAATTTCCTGTTAGGGGTAATGCTGTTTGGCCTCATATTCTTTAATCTTCATTAACATATAAATGTAAAAGGACACCAGGGGATCATCATCTAATTTTATCTCTACCATTATTGTATTTCCAGCAAATATACTAAGGTTTGAAACGTGTACAGTAGCAGTTAAGGATCAAAGACAAGAAAATTAACCCCAATATATCTTATTCAGTAGTGATTAAAAAATAATCACTGTGACCCCTTAAAGAGCCTCTCGGAGTCAAATAAACATATATTACATATGAGACTGCAACAAAGCCTTGTCAATTGTCATCATCACCGGAAAAGTAAGAAACAATGTAAAGACAGGCGACTTATATAAACAGCACACATTAGCTGTACTGCAAAGGAGCCGCCTACTTGATGAGATTAGTACAAGTGCTTCACACTTCGAACTTAAAGGGGAAACTTTGGACGCATCTGCCTGGTATAGATTTTGTTTCTTTTGTCAAGGAAGTCTTTACACAATAGTTATTTATTTCATGACAGAAACCACATATATATATAGATAGATAGATAGATAGATAGATAGATATATATATAGATATAGATATAGATATAATTATTATTATCATTTTTATTATTATCATTATTATATTATTATTAGATAAATTTTAATTCTTTTTTAAAGAAACATAAGTTTAAATTTTTTTTTAAATGATGATAAAAGAATTGTTCTCTTTTGAAATTTGAGTACATACTCAAGGCATTAAAATATAAAAACATAGATTTCTATACTCGCATCTCTTAAATTTATTTTTTTTCTAACGCAATTTAAAAAAAAATGTGAATTGCTCACTAACATTATTTTTATTTACAGTGTATATTTACAGTGTATATAAGTGCAAAGAAAAACCATGCATAAAAAGGACTCATTTGTTCATATCCTTCTTTGTTATGCATAGTTTATCATCGATAAATATTAAATAGGCACATAAATGATCATACTTTATGAATTGGCAGTCTATAGTCTTTTGGCCATGGAGCATTATATTTCATTTAATTTCATCAAGATTGCTGAAACAGTATTTCATGATTCTAAAAGTACTCCAAATTTAACAATATTATTTATAATATCAGATATTTTTCGATTATTATCGAGTTAAAACCTTTGGCCTTGGAGGCTGGCTTTTTGTTTCAAATGGCGGATTTGTGTTACTGGTCATAAACATTGGACCACTGTTATTTGCTTTTAAAGTTCAAGTGTCGTACAACGCAATGGTTCACAATAACGTTGTTTGTATTACGCCAGTGTTATAACATATTGACACGAGGGTATTGATCGTCCGTCCACAAATAGCCACCACCATTCCCCTCTTTTGCCCCAGCAACTGGCCAGCCTGGTGATGATGTAACTAATTCGTTTTTCACACTTCATCAAGCTGGGGAATAGTGCAACAGTGTTATATAATACCCAACACATTTCACCCTGAAATCAATCTCATTATTACCTAACATATTTAGAGAAGATAAATACAAGTGACCTAGCGCCGTTAAGTAGTTTTGAAATATATTTAGATATTCAAGCTCCCCCTTGTTGAAAGCTATGAATCATATTTTACAATGTTTTACTGCTGAAGACGAAGTATTTTTTCCTTCTCCACCTCATTGGCCAGAAACGCCTTGCGGTCAATTTGACCCCAGTACACAACTTCCGGTAAACAAAGAAGATATCCATTCAAAACTTCAAACGCGACCTTCCAGCACGGCCCCTTTCTCCTACCTCATTGCATAAATAACAATTGTTGATAAATAAAACTTTTATTTCATTTTTCACAGTGGTCACTTCCATCTTTCCCTCAGAGCAAGACACAAACTTTTAATGAAAGTGATTAGAGAAATAGGTCAGATACGTCACATGCGCAGAGCTTTATGTAGTTATTGTGCAAGAAGGTCATTTCGAGTTCATCCACTGCAAATAACCGTATAAGCGGCGGCTATCGGTTGGTCAGTTTTCATTTAGCTCTGGTCAGTGGGAGGATCCAGAGCGAGGGGTCTTTTATCTGGATTTACTAGACTGTCGGACAAACTATCAACAAGAACAGCTCGTCTTGACATTCACAGGTAAATAATCAATTATTTATTCTGACAAGTTTTGTTACATATTAATTAAAAAGTTTTCTTTTTGCAAGAAGAAAAAGAAATACTTTCTCTACAAAGAAACATTTTTGTTATTCTAACAAATTTTAAATAGATTATATGTTAAAGCATGGCACCGAAGGAAAAAGCTTAGAAATAATTTATCCTTTAAACTTTTTTTATTTTAAAAAAAAATGTTTATTGCTAATTTAAGTCATATATTTCAGCAAAATTGCCGAAATGGCAGACACGGCCTTGGACTTGTCATCTAAGCCTGGGGTTGATCTAGACAGAACCTCCAAATTCATCAGCAGAACTTCCACTCATTCTAACTCTGGGGGATCAGGACGTAACTCCCCCGCATCTTCAGTTCACTCGGACGGAAACGAAAGTGACAGTTCAATAAAGAACAGTGTATTCGGACATGATACAAGAGGCAGCAATCCCCCGGTAAACTCACTCGGTGAAAATTCAAACAGTACCTCTATTAAAAGTGAGGAAGACGCTGGTACTCCGGACAAACTAAGTTCATCTACTGTGTCGAGACCATTTAAAATGTACCCCATGGATCCCTTTTCAATATACAGCATGGCGACTCCTACGCCTTCATCGCCTCTCTCTCCTACGGTGACCTCCCCTGCAGCGCTAGGAGTTCCCCCTTCAGTGTACGAGAATCCCGCAGGGTTCCCGGGTTTCCCGTTAGCTCCGTTGACTTCTCATTTACTGCAACGAAAACGACGGTCTGAATCTCGGCCGGATGTGATGGACCCAAAAAAGACAAAACCCGTCCCGGAGGAAAGAAAAGATGATGCTTATTGGGAACGAAGAAGAAAAAATAATGAAGCTGCTAAACGCTCCAGGGACGCCAGGCGCCACAAGGAGGAAGAAATCGCTATGAGAGCGGCTTTTCTCGAACAAGAAAACCTCAAACTACGTGCTCAGGTGGCCATTCTCAAAAACGAAACTGCAAAATTACATTACATGCTCTATAACCGATTATGAGATTTTCTTGTTGTTGATCTATAACTTTACAATTATATCATATATTATTTGTGGCATTGAAGGTGCAAAAGAAAGACGAAAGTGCTAAATTTTATAATCGCCTAATCGGATTATTTTGTAATAGACTGCAATATAAAGACACATTTAACAGAATTACTCTTTCAAAGACAGCTAAACCTTCCTTTTACACAATGAAAAAGAATCTTTACATTTTTGCAGATACTGAGTTTTACCAATAAAACCCTCTGCAAAAATGTTTCAGATATTTAAGGTATGATTATTTTAATTTTTTTGGTCTATATCCAGTGATCCAATGCTGATTTTAAAGCTTTCGTTTTTCTTTACAACAGTGATCAAATGCTGAATTTGGGTTTTTTCAAGATTCATGCATGTCTGTTGAATGCTTGTTTTGTTTGAATGTTTTACTAAGAATATGTGCTGATGACTAGTGCTAAGGGAGATGAATGAAAAATAACATTTTTTTTTCAAAGAAATATTTATTATCATGATTTTGTGTGCTCTTTATAATATAAACCTCGGCTGGGATGAAATCTCAGACAATCTTACTTTTTATCAATGTTTACTTAATATAACAATATATTTTCTATCAGGATACCTTGATTGTGGTATGATACGGTCAGATAATTTATGTGTTAACCTCATTTTGCCATTTCAGGATTTTTAGCATCTGTCACTAAATGAATGCTCTTATTTTATTTTTTATGAAAATTGTTAATTTTATTTCTAAGCCCGGTTAAATGTCATTTGTATGTAAACTTCAAATTCATATTTCATCAAGACATTGAAACTAAAGTCTATATCTTTTGGAGAAGTAAAAATAATAATAATAAAAAAACACACACTTTGATATTAATCGAAAGTTTTTGTTTAAAAGATTGGCAAAACTGACCATAAATGAAAACGTTACTTGACCAATTCATTTTTTTTAAATTACATTTTTAAATACAAATGTATGTTCGTATTGATCTCATGTGAAAATTTTGAAATCCATGCTAACCAAAGCTTTATACACTGAAAAATCTGTGCTTTTTACTCTACAAACTGCTTATGTTTCAAACATTGATATAGTTTATATACTCTTCTCATCTGGTGCATCTTTTTAATTTTTCATTTGTTCATAATCAGTGTTATTTTATCTCGGAAAAAAATAAAGCTGAATTCACTACTTTGTGTTTGGTTTTATTACCAAGAGAAAATTGTTAATTGGACTGGATTTAATTACTTACATGAAATCATTAAATTTTAAATAAAACTAATGAACATGTCCTCCAGATTTAAACAGGATGGTGTGATATTCTGAGTTATGTGCTCGACATTTAATGTTTAAACAAGAAATCAACTTATTTATTGAACGGAAATCCTTGTAGTTTAAAAAACACATTAAGGGCCAGAATAGTATCTGACTGGACAATACGAAGGCTCGGAACTGAATTCGTTTATAAAATTAATTGAGGTAATATATGTAATGTTATTAATATTCTGAAAGATCTTTCGCCCAATTTGATCACAGTTTGGCAGGTGAACTATCAGAGATGCTTTTGATGTGCTATACATGTAAAATCGTGTTTCTTCGTAGGTAGTGGTGAACTTTTAAATGGTTATTTAACAATTTACCCCCTCGATACACACAGTTCTAATTCACGGTCTATTGAAATTTTGCCATCTTTCTTTATCGGAACAGTAAAGTTAAGTCAATGATTACCAAGGAATTACACAAGGTTATACAAGTGTATGATGTCATTTCTGGTGGTTATTACATAACGTCAGGTCGAATCCAAAAGCAAACTATCAGAAAATAGGGCAAATCATTTACTCTGTTACCTAACATATTAACGATTGAACACTCTCACCACTAACAGATATCAATATTACATGGTGACCTCGTTCGGCCATATACCTTTAGTATATAGAAATTATATGTAGGGCACATGCATCCACTGCGCGGAACAATTAAGGACATGTAATGTTGCACAAGGATATACACGGAACGGAAATGTGAGCGCCGCAAAGATAAAGTGCTTCAAGGAATCGCAGCAAAGGTCCCTTTGTAGACGGATTTTGATTATCTAAATTAAGGATGTCCTTGAAGATATTGATAATTTGTATTAATTCAAATGGTAACACAAAAAGTGTTTATTAGTTATAATTTCTCAAAATAGAAAAACTTCTTTGAGAAAAAAATATCATACACACCATAAACATTCAAAACATCAGGAAACTCTTATACCTTTTTAGCTCACCTGAGCTGAAAACTCAAGTGAGCTTTTCTGATCACCCGTTGTCCGGCGTCCGTTTGTAAACTTTTCATATTTTCGACTTCTCAAAAAAACCATTGGGATAATTTTAATCAATGTTGGCACAAAGCATCTTTGGGTTATGGAGATTCTAAATACCAAACCTACTTCCAAGGGGAGATAATAGGTGGGGTCATTAAATAATCTTCTCAAGAAGCACTGGGACAGAAAAGGCGAAAATCATATGGAAGCTTCTTGAAGAAATTTAGATTCTAAATTGTTTAAACCATGGACCTCGGGATTAGGATGGGACCACAATAGGGGATGAAAGTTTCTTATTGAAATATACAAGAAAATTTTTTTTAAAATCTTCTGATGAGGAATCATTGGGTCTTAAAAAGTGAAACTTACGTGGAAGCTTCATGAGAAAGTGTAGATTATAAATTGCCAAAATTATGACCCCGGGGTTAGGGCGGGGCCAAAATAGGAATGAAAGTTTAACATGAAATGTATATGAAATATCTTTAAAAATCTTCTCAAGAACCACTCGACTAGATAATGCGAAACTTATCTGAAAGCTTCTCGAGGAAGTGTAGATTCTAAATTGTTCAAATCATGACCCCGGGAGTAAGGTAGGGTCAAAATAAGGGATGAAGGTTTTCATTGCAATATATAAGAGAAATCATTAAAAATATTATTCACATCATGGACCCTGAGGGTAGGGTGGGGCCACAATAAAGAATCAAAGTTTTACATAGAAATATACAAGAAGAATAGCAAGGCCGCGATTATTCCTATCCTATTCTCAGGTAGTGTAGGTGTTTACTAACGGACGGATGTTTATTGTGGCCAAAAAAATTAAACAATTTAGAATCTCCACTTCATCAGGAAGCTTCCGCATAAGTTTTACCTTATCTAGGTAGTGTAGATTCAATTTTTGCTTTCATATCATGACCTCCAGTGGTACAGTGAGGCCACAATATGTGATACACGTTTGTACACGGGAATTAACAGCAGGGCAGTTGTGTCTCGATCAGGCGAGTGCTGTGGCCCTTAAGCCTCTTGTTGGCATTTGTAACTCTTTGTACCACTGGAAATTTATTATATGGAGGATTTGAAACTAGGGAAAATACTGGCAATCACTCTTTTTATTTTGCTTTTGTTTGTTTTGATTTCAGTTTTTAGCTCACCTGTGCTAAAGGCTCAAGTGAGATTTTCTATCACCCGTTGTCCGGCGTCCAACCGTCCTCCTGTAAACTTTTCACATTTTCGACTTCTACTCAAAAAGCACTTCAATAAGTTTAACCAAAGTTGGCACAAAGCATCCTTTGGTTATGGGGATAAAACCTTCGAACGAAGGGCCATGTCCACTTCCAAGGGGAGATAATCAAGAAAAGACAAAAATAGGGTAGGGTCATTAAAACATTTTTTTCTCATTAACCACAAGGGTAGATATGTGAAAGCTTCCTGGGGAAATGAAGATTCTAAATTGTTCACTTCATGACCCCGGTGTTAGGGTGGGGCCACAATAGAGGATGAAAGTTTTACATTAAAATATAGACGAAAAAATCTTCTCCTCCAGAACCACTGGGCCAAAAAAGGTGAAACATATGTGGATGCTTCCTGGGGAAATGTAGATTACAAATTCAACTCATAACCCTCAGGGTAAGGTTGGGCCACAATAAGGGATCAAAGTTCAACATTGAAATACATAAGAAAATCTTTAAAAATCTTCTTCTCAAGAACCACTGGATTAGAAAGGATGAAATGCATGTTAAAAGCTTCAAGACTATACGGTATGTAGATTGTAAATTGTGCAAATCATGAAATTCGGGTGTAGCGTAGGGCCACAATAAAGGATCAAAAAACACTGGATTAGAAAAGATAAAACTGTATGTGGAAGCTTGTAGGCTTAATGTAGATTCTATATTTTTCAAACCATGGACCCCGGAGTTAGGGTTGACCACAATAGAGATTAACTTTTGCATTTAAAAATACAAGAAAAATCTTTAAAAATCTTCTTCTACTGGACCAGAAAAATGAAACTTATCTGAATGCTTCCTCGTTCTAAACTGTTCAACTTTTGACTCCCGGGGTAGCGTGAGACCCCAGTACGGGATCCAAGTTTTGCATGGAAATATAAAAGAATTTAAAAAAAAAAATCTTCTATAGAAACACAATAGAACCATTAATTTGCAAACATCACCATGTATGAATTTATTTTTTTTTAAATTCTGGACCCCTGGGAAGAGTTGGCTAAAATCAGTATAAAATTTATACAATGCTTTTATACAGAAAAAGAATTTTCATTTTTATAACTGCAAGGCCATGTTAGTTATATTAATATTAAAGTATTCCCATGGTGTGTGGATTCAGAGACCCCTTAGAGATAGGATGGGGCCATAAGAAGTGGTCACAATTTTGAAGGAATATAAACATTTTTAAAAATCTTCTGAAAAAGAGCAGGGTTAAAGTAACTCAGGTGAGCGTTATTGCCTTTCTTGTGAATATTATAAAGTTGTTATACAATATGTTTCTTCTTTATGTCGCTCGCAGTTCTGAAGTTTCTTTAACATTAAACTTTCTTTATATAACTTTTCGAAAGCACTGAGGAAATTTTAAGACAAATGGGAAATTGTTTATCAACCACAGTTCATGTTCATCGGTTAAAATATTGCGTAAGATTTCTGCATGACCACTAGGTCAACCTCTGTCCTTAACACTTAAGGCAAGTTCTCGCTTACTGTGACTACTTTAACCACAAAGACCGGAAGTTACAACAGAGTGCATAATATGATTCAGGACGTGTCTTGTATATAATTCAACACTATGAGCCATTC